CATCAGGTTGAGGTTGATGTCTAGACTCCCTTTGTGGTCTTCACTGCACTTGGCCTTCTGGCATCACCTTGGTGGAGGAAGGGGGAGGGAGAGAGAGTTGGAATGCCTAGCTATAGACTGGGAAGGGGAGAAGACTAGGTTTCCCACTTAGCCTTTGCTTGCAGAGTTCAGAATGGCACTACAGTTCCTCTCCCCTCTACCCCGGCCCTGTGGAGTTTAGCTAGAGTAGAATGGTTGTTGTTTATAAATTTTATGTCTTACTAGGCTGTCCCTTTCTTGGTCCTTTGGCTAGAGAGATTAGGCTTTTCATGGAATTTTTCTGTCTATGCTTGTTGGCATTACTTGTTGGCTTCTCCAGCACTCAGTCTGGATTATGCACAGAAAAGAGAAAGCCCACAAAACTCACTGTAGTGTTGTTCTTCAAGTCTCAAGTTTTCAGGCTAGTCTGCCTCTCATCCACCATTCATTGTGTTCTTATATTTATTTTATCTTACGTGCAGCGTTTTTAACTTACTTAGCAAGAGGAAAAGGAAAATATACATCTACTCTACCTTTCTGGAGGCAGAAGTCATTTTCTCAAGTCTTAATATGGTTTATTCCACTTTCCTCACTACAATGGTGTCAAGAGAAATGATTCTGCTTGAAGGCAGGTGTGTGCGTGTGCGTGTGCGTGTGTGTGTGCGTGTGTGTGTGTGTGTGTATGTGTTAGTCTGTAGGTAAGGCAATTTCTTTTGTTACCCAAGGGCAAGAACGCTTCATCTTACTCTTTCTCCACAAGAACACCACTAGAACCAATAAGCAAATACAGTAAAATTTCTGGATACAAAATCAACATTCAAAAATCCATAGCGTTCCTATCCTCTAATAATCAAGTGTCAGAAAAAGAAGTAGAAAAAATAATTCCTTTTGCATCGCAACAAAAAGAATACCTAGGAATAAATTTTTTTTCCCTCTTTAATTCCCCACCCCCACCACCACTTCCACCCCTACCTATGGATGTTGCTGTTTCCCTTTCTTTTTTTCTTTTTTTTTTTCTTTTAAGAACTGGTTCTCTGAAGGCAGGGTATCTCTTCCCACATGCTCGCAGTGTACACCCAGAGCCTCGTGCACCTTGAGGGCCTGGCGCACCCGGGGTATGGTCCATGGCTCCACCTGGGGCGTAAACCCAGGACCTTCTGTGTGTAAAGCAGGAGTCCTAACCACTACATTATGGCGCCACCCCACCTAGGAATAAATTTAACGAAACATGTGAAAGACCTATATGAAAACTATAAGACCCTATTAAAAGAAATCAAAGAAGATACAAAGAAATGGAAAGATATTCTGTGTTCTTGGATTGGAAGAATCAACATAG